TGCAGGATGTATGTTTAAAGCAAAAAAAGGATCTTGTGCTAGTTCAAGCTAATGCTAATAAAAAGATTAGTCAGCTGAATGTGACCAATACTAGGCTTAGATCTTCTGAGCAGTTATCCCGTAGTGAGTGTAAAGCAGAGCGAGAGAAATATTCTGCTGAAATCAAATCACTCAAATCCTTGATTAAAACACTGGAGAAAGAAGCGACTTTGGCACAGAAAGCTTCATCCCTTGACAAGATCAAGATTCTCTCTCTTGAAGCTAAAATAAGTGAATTGGAAGGTAAGTTGGAAAATCTGGAACTAGAACAGGTATTCCATGATTCGAATATAAATGGCGGGATACTAGAGGAGTTAGGTAAGCAAGATCTAAAGTTACCTGATTGGATTGATGAAAGTTTAAAGAGCTTTGTCTATACGCTTGGGCTCGAAAATAAAGTAAAGGAAATCGAAAAAAAAATTGCTAAGGAAGATTTACTAGAAGTGTTGCAAAAGGCATTGTCAGAAAGAAATTCTCTCATTCAAGAAGCAAAACTAAAGGAACCAAATAATGCTTGTTTAGCTGAGCAGATCCAAAAAACATCTAGCGAGTATGAAGTACATGGAGGGACGAGATCATGCCTAAGCGCTTCTGACCAAAATGAACCTTCAAGTGTTAGTAAACTAGAGAAAGATAACGATATCACTAGTCCTGAACTCATCAGGCCTTAAAGAGATCTTTCAATATTACCCATTACTGCTGGCCACAAAGTGACCCAAGCTCTGGTTAATGAGAAATCCGATTCCTTCTTTCAGCATGCAATCATCTTCGTAGTAGTATTACTAATCATATACTTCCTATGGTGCATAATCTCTCGTCTATATTCATCTTACAATAAAGAAAAAAATATTCCAAACTATAAAATACCCTTAAATAGAAATTATAGTTATGGATCCCCAACCTGATATGCAGAAGAACCAAAAGACAGGACTACCCCCTATGAAACTTCGTCTTTTGAATATGGATGAGGTCACTAAACATGAATCATCCCGAAATATTGGACATCCAGCAATGACATAGCCTTTCAGCATGTTGGTCACTGGGAGAAGTGGTTCAGGTAAGACTAATTTACTTGCGAATCTTGTTCTTGGTGATAAGGATGAATATGTGCAAAGAGGGAAGAAAGGTGGGTCTCGCTACATCAAATGTGATGATCTAATTGTTTGTGGGTATCATCCTGATGAACCGAAGTGGGCATATGTGAGATACATATATAATACGATTTCGAAAGACCCAAGAGCACCTTACTATGAGAATATTAGTTTCAGTTATATTCTACCCGAAAGAATTCCTAGTACAAGAACATTCTCACCCGAAAGAAGTAAATTATTTATTTTTGAGGATCTGTGCCTCGCTCCAGATCATATACAAAATCGTATTGGTCAGTTTTTTGGGAATGGGCGTCACCGAAATATTTCATGTATATATATTACGCAAAAGTATCATAAAGTCGATACATTCAAACGTGAAAACTCGACTCATTTAGTATTATTTAACTCTGGTAGCAGTATCCAAGACGTGTTTAAGATTGTTGGACGATATACTGATGATGTAAAGGGTGCATCCATGGTTATTAATAGTTACCTTCGAAAAGGCGAGTTTGTTGTATTTGATCTCACTAGGCCAGAAGATAATCCCCTTGCAATCCGCCTAAGGTTTGACACTCCACTGATCTTGCAAAAGGAGATAGAGGCTAGGCAGAAGCGCAAGGAAAAAAGTGCTTCAGCTAATGAATAGAATCTGACTTTATAGATGCTAGCTTTTTTTCGTAATTATAAAAAATTGGAATGGGAGAACCAATTATTTATATCAATCCTCAGAAAGCTCGAGACTTAGATCGCGATCTTACTTTACAGAAACTTTATTACAGACCTGAGGGATATTATCGGACTGCTGAAAAAATGCAGGATGCTTGTAAGAAGGTGGGATATGAGTTCACTTTAGCCGTAATAAAAAAATGGTTAAACAAGCAGGCTTTACATCAGATTCACAAACCCCGTCCTAAATTTATTCAGTATGCTTCTTTTAATGATATACAAGATCTAAATGATGTGCATCAATCTGATACTACACCACTTTCTCATTGTAAAATAGGCAATCGAATTTATAAGCATAGACTTGTAATAAAAGATGTGGCTACTAGATTTCGCTGTAGTTTTGCTTTAACCAATAAATCATCTGCACAAGTGGCTAAAGCATTTCAGAAAATTTATGATGACCCAAACTGCCCTCTTATTTGGCCAAATGTTTTAATTATTGATAGAGGTACTGAATTTATAAGCGAGTGTAGGGAATTATTACTTAGACATGGTGTAAAAATTCAGTATGCTAATTCTAAACGTAGTGTAGCTATTGCTGAACGTGACCATCAAGAATTTGAAAAGCATGCTTATTTTCGGCAAGATGCTGTAGATTTTCATTTGCCTTTGACTGATAGATCCAGAGCATGGGTTAAGGGACTTCGTATAAATGATGATAATTATAATAATACACCCACTAAGTTAATAGGTATGTCTCCTAACGAGGCTGTAAAAAAGGCATTAAAAGGTAAAAAAATAATAGCTAGACCTTCTGTCAAACATAGGAGACCAGTTGGTTATAATGAACCACTTTTACCTAGCTATACTGAAGTTCGGCATTTATTGGAACCCGGCGAATTAGAAGGTGGTAGAAGAAGAGCAACTGATTGCAATTGGTCTCCCGAAGTTTTTACAATTGATTCTTATTTAATAAAAGAAAATCAACCTATTCTATATAAGCTTTACAATAGTCCTAGATGCTCATTTGTAAGAGAAGAACTACAAATCGTCCCGCCAGATTCAGTCTTACCGCCCAAATATATTCTCAAGCATTAGACTTACCTCCTCTCTCCTCCACTTGGTATAGAATTTGTTCGAAGGCATCGCTTAAGTAGTCATCTATTTCAGCTCTATTGTAGACTATAATTTGCTTATTTCTAAGCCAGTCAGTTCGTGAATTCTTTTTTCCTTGTTTTTCATTTCTAGGTTTATCATCTATAAGAAATTTGGTAAGAGAACATAGAGCGAACTTGAATTGCCCACGCTTGTCAAATTCTTTTTCAAGTAATTCCTTAAATTGTTTTCTTCAGCTTTCTAACATTTTTCGTATATCACTTCCATTATCTGAATGAGATCTAGGAACTTTTGCACGATGTACGGCTATAGCTCTTCTTTTGAGTGCCGTGCCTAATTCTTCTTGCTCCCTAAATTCTAGGTCTCTTTCTTGTTCATCAGTAATTTCTCCTAAGCGCTCAAATTCTTTATTAATCAAATTCTTAGATTTATTATTCCTATGAGCTTGTGTTCTAGGTCCAGGGCCAGCTTTAGGCTCTAATATCTTTTCATATTTCTCTAACTCTTTTAATGTTGGTAGACGAACTGCCTCTGGATCATTTAGTTCAAGATCATGGAAAAGGGTCTTACAACCATCTAGATCATTTGCCTCACATAGCTCAACACCTAGATCTAATTCATTCCAACGTTTTTGCAATCTCGCTCCCCATGTCTTAATTCGCTCTCTGGGCTTTCGTGCATTTGGACTGATCCAATTCTTTGCCTCCTCTTCTGTGATGTAGTCGACACCAAGTACTGGAGCTTCCTTTTCGGGTTCTAGTTCAGGAACTAAAGTTGGAATTACCACATGTGGCTTCTTCTTGTTGCTCATATTTACACTAGAGCTTTCTACTTGTGCTTTGATTTCGGAAGCCTGTTGGTTAGCTTCTTGAATAGGCACCTGAATTGGAGTTTGAATAGAAGCTACTTTCTTCTGCTTTTGTAATGGTTTGCATGGATTTTTTCGCTTAAGATGCTCACGAAGTTTTTGAGGAGTTGAGCATTCTCGTCCACAACGTTTACAGGTTGTACCTTTCTTATCACTTCTTGCTTTTCTGACCATGGTGTTAGCTCTAACCGTCGCACTATTACTTGCTTATATAATTTTTTCTTTAATTAATTATTTCCTATATACATATCACTTTTCGATTATAGAAATCCTACCGAAGATAAGTATTTACAAGCTTTCCAAAGCGGTTCTAGCTATTGCAAAACTGAAGCATTAACTAATTATTAATTAATCTTTTCGATTCTAATAATAAAAAAAAGGATGATCAGCGAATATTCTTGCCCATTTCTCTGCAATACCGGAAAGGCTTGTAATAACCCTTGCATTCGCCCAGAAGGTTGCCGATTTCATTGGAAAGCTAAAAAACGGGTACCATGCTCTGATTGTGGAAAGCCTACAGCTTCTGCTTGTGGCCGATGCCCAGATCATGTTAGAGGTTATTATGTTACTCAATACTATGAAAGACTTCGATCAGAAGGTCTTCGATCAGAAATAGGAGAAAGACTTCGATTAGTGATACAAGAAATACAAAAAAGTCTTCGATCAAACATGCAAAAAGAAACTTTTGAGCAATTAATGTTCGCCCATAGAGACAGGCTTGCAATTCTTAATATTACTCTCTGCAGGATATACCTCCTTCCAATAAAAATGGATGAGGGAGAATATTGTGATAGTTGCCAGCCAGAATAAATTTCCCCAGTAGGGTTGAATCGTTAGACTTAAATGAATAATGTATTAGATAAGAAGTTAGCCAGCACGAAGCCAATTCCTAATATATATTTCTTGTTAGACTTATAAAATTCCCTGGCAGGATTGAATAGTTAGACTTAAATTTTTTCGTTAAATTTATATGCTATTTATTAGGCTATTCTGCGCAGAACCTGTTCTTGACTAAGAAAAAGTTGTGACAATTCCGCGGATTTTTCTGGATTTTTACAGGAGATATTTTCGTTAGACTTTTATATAAAACATGCTGGTTATAGAGCTAGCCTGCCCAAAACCAATCCTTTATTTACAATTTTCGTTAGATTTATTAATGGGAAACTTAATTAACTTAAATTTTTTCGGTAGACTTAAAGATTAATATACTTTTTCAAAGAGCTAGCTCGCTTAGAAGTAGTTCCTGATATAGACTTTTCTTAAATATTAGTTATGCTATATAGTAATCTGGCCTACTCTGAACACATTCTTGACTTAGAAAAAGTTGAGACAAAAACCTCGTTAGATTTATTTAAAGATTATGCAATTTAATGAGCTAGCTTGTATAGAAGCCATTCTTGTCTATAGTAAAATTTGTTAGATTTAAAAGGTCACATGATTTTTCGATATGCTAATTAATGTGCAAACCCTTGCAGAAGCAATTCTTGATTAAAGAAAAGTTAGGACAAAAACTGTTAGACTTATTTGGTTAGACTTAATTTTTTCGTTAAACTTATTTATGGGGTAATAAGGACCGTTAGACTTATTTTGGTTAGATTTTAATAAGGAAAATCACGCAGAATCAATTTCTGATATACAATATTTAGTTAGACTTAATAAATATAACCGAAAAAATGATATAGAAATTAAGATTCTAGAGCAGAAAGAAGCTCTTCTAATATAATAAGAAAAATCGATATGTTTTTCTGAGGTTGGAGAAGCCATACAGAATTAAGAAATATAATATCAAAATTAAGATTCTAGAGTAGATAGAAGCTCTTCTAATATAATAAGAAAAATCGATATGCTTCCTGAAGCTGGAAAGACACACAACACACAATGTCGTGGGGGAATTGGGACTTTGTCCCAAAACCCCCACAATGACATTGTGTGCATGTATAATATGTAAAAAAGACAAAGAAGAAGACTATGAACATCTGACAACTTGTGAGAAATATAAAGCTAAATGGAAAGATGCAGAGCAACTAGTCTCAAACTTAGCCTAGACAGCCTTATCAGAAGAAACTTGCAGTCAATATGACAAAGCTCAACTCCGGAAGATTCTTTGGGATTTATCAGAAGAAGAAAGAATTGAAGCCAGAGCTGGTATACTTAAAAGGTTGATCAAGAAAGAGATTGCAAAAAGAATCCTTGAAACATTAGAAAGCCTAAAAGAATTTAGAAACTACTTGGATACAATAATTAATACAGCATAGATTCTTTTTTACGAAAATATTTAGAAACCAAGATGTGCATATATAAATAACTGGGAAAAGAAGAAAGGCATAAGCCCAAAAGAAAAGAAAGAGAAAAACACCACTTTCAAAAAGTTAAAATCCAGTATTAAGGAGAAAAAACTGATTCTGTTAGGAGAAAACAGTCAAGATCAAACCAAGGGTAAAGTTAAGAAAAAAGAAAATGATGAAAGTAAAGAGGAGGAAATTAAGGAAAAAAAAAATACTTGATTAGGAGCTATAAAAAGCTTTATTAAAAATAAAACAAAGCCATTCTGGTATGGCTTCACAGGGTAGCTTGGTGCAGTCTTCCGGTGTGGGTAATTTGCCTCAACCAGTGAGACAGACCATCTTTGGGTACTCAATAGAGTAGCCGGAGAATGTCAGATCTGTAGTTTAGATAGTTAAATATATATATATGTATATGCTTTAATCTAATAAAGATACCGCGAGACTGACAAAATTAAAATTAAAATAAAAATAAAAAAAAAAATATATATATATATATATATATATATATCAATACAACTAGATACAGAAAATATAACATATGCAACTTATACCAAAACAAATATACAGACCAAACTAATAACATCTGACAAAAATTATATAGTTATATATTGTAACAAAACATATTCCAACATGATTAAATACAAATAAATGAAGAGACAATACAAGTATAAACACAAAGCTGAATTAAACACAAATTTCTAGAACTAGATAAATAAAACCAAAATAAGTTTAACTATAGAATTTGGCTACTAGACAAAATTATTACATTTTTAGATGATACTAATAGCATTAAAGAGTTTATACAATATAAACTAATAATTCAATTTGCATAACACTATATTTCATAAGCAATTATACTAAAATTTAAATATTTAGATTCTGCATTTTTTATTTTCTTTATTGAAAACAAACAAACTACACCTGCATACTAAAAAAATTTGCTAATCTACTTAAAGCTGCTATCACTAAATACAAAAAAAAATTGAATTATACTAACTAATAAACAAATTCAAAATACAATTTAACTCAAATTAAGACAAAATTTAATAATAAAATATCATACAAACTCCAATTTTAGACAGCTACTATACAACTAAAGTATATTAAATAATAAAATACAATCAAAACTTCATCTGTGTATAACTAATCAAAAACTACAAATAAATACAAACAGCAATTAGCCAAGCCTATAGTATTTAATAGCAACAACTACCAGATACCTCAAAAGAAATAGATAGCAAAATTAACATAATAATTCTATATAAAAAACTTTTTTTTGACCAAAATCTAAAGTTCAGTATAGAAAGAATTGACTGTATAACAATATACAAAAACTTTGAAAAACTCTAATATAACTTGAATATTACTAAAAAAAGAAATTTTGTGTAGAAATTCATCAAACATTGTATTTATATTATTAAAATTTTAAATTTTGGTCTAAGTTGTATCAGAGTTCTTTGGGGTTCTAATATACAGTATGTAATGAGTAATACTAATAAATAAAGTCATGGGCAAGACCCCACCTGAACACTAAAAAAAAAAAATAACCAATAATAGTAAGCCAAAACATGTGACTTGTCCCATTTTTAGTCAAATTTGTATCTTTAAACTCATTAATTAAAAAATAAAGCCGTTAAGTTGTAGTAAATTAGTTAAACTACAAAATATCGGCATATTTTTTATATTGTTTTTCTATTAAATATTATTAGCATTTAAAGTTTGTGAAGTCTTTAAGTATCTCGCACTATAGAATTTTCAATTTATTTTATTTGTTATTCTCTAGTCAATAAACAAATATATATAATGATGTATCAAAATTTTTCCGCGTCTTTGCGCAAAAATTGATAAAGTAACTAAACTATAAACAGATAGTTTCTGATATTGTATGATGGCAATGTGGCGGGTAACACAACCATAAAAAGTTTCTTATAAATTTGCAAATAATTTATGCATTTCAAATGTCGTTGTTTTCCAGATTCACGTTAGCTGTTAGACCAAATAACCAACACGTTTTGTCACGTCTTTTAACAGTTCAAAGAAACATGCACTCCAAAGTTGTGATTATAGGTTCAGGTCCGGCGGGACACACTGCAGCACTTTACTTGTCCCGAGCAACTCTAGAACCGGTTATGTTTGAAGGACTTTTTGCGAACGGCTTTGCTCCCGGTGGTCAAGTACAAATAATTCCTGGTTTATTAAACTAATTAGTATCGATATTTTAAGAAATCTCGCGTTAACATGTTTCTATAACTTACAGCTTACTACAACTACCGATGTAGAAAATTATCCTGGCTTTCCTGAAGGAATTATGGGAGGGGAAATGATGGATAAATTTCGGGAACAAAGCATTAGATTTGGCACAAAAATAATCACTGAAACTGTATCAAAAGTTGATCTTTCAACGCGCCCATTTAAATTTTGGCGTGAAAATCATGAAGATAAAGAGCCTGATACTGCTGATTCACTTATTATTGCAACAGGCGCAGCTGCAAAAAGATTGAATCTTCCTGGAGAAGAGATATATTGGCAAAAAGGAATCTCTGCATGTGCTGTTTGTGATGGTAATTAAAACCAAAGTATAATTTGTCTTTCTGTGTCACATCATATTTAATTGAACATATGATTTTTAAAGGGGCATTACCTATCTTCCGTAACAAACCTCTTGCAGTAGTTGGTGGTGGTGATTCTGCCGCTGAGGAAGCTACATTTCTTACAAAATTTGGATCACATGTATTTGTATTAGTTCGTCGAGACAAACTTCGAGCATCAAAAGTGATGGCGAATCGATTACTTTCAAATCCAAATATTACAGTGCTTTGGAACACTATTGCTATTGAATGCAAGGGTGATGGAAATGTACTAAATCTTTTGATTACGAAGAACACTAAAACCGGTGAAATAAAAGATTTGCCGATAAATGGTCTGTTTTATGCAATTGGTCATGTACCAGCTACTGATTTGGTTAAAGGACAATTAAAGTTAGATTCGGACGGTTACGTTATCACTGAACCGGACAGTACTTGTACGAGCGTAGATGGTGTTTTCGCTGCGGGTGACGTGAAAGACAAGAGATACAGGCAGGCGGTCACAAGTGCAGGTTCTGGGTGTATGGCTGCATTAGAATGCGAACGTTGGTTGAGCGAACATTTACCAGAATAATAATTTTTCATTGTATATTTAAGTTTAACATTATTTAAACAGTCTGTTAAACAAACAATTAAGATTCTGTCAATTGTGTCCATGATTTATTTATATTTTATTAGAATAATATAGTATCATGTGGTTATTTACACATCTTTGTGTAACTCATTTATAAAGCTCCAACGTAAATTTCGATTCTTCAACTTAAGATTGACATTTTATTCAGTTTTTTTTTTTTCTTGTTTCATAACAGTATTATATATAGACAGAGCCTAATATAAAAATATAAAATAAATAAATAAATAAATAAAGATTAAAACAATTTGTTCACAAAACATGAAAATGAATAGTCCCTATGAATACCTGAGCAATCATTGATCCAGCATCACTGACGGAAGCTGGTACAATTACAGAATTGCCTTGTTTAGCAAGTTGTCCAAAAGCTTCTACGTATTTTTCAGCAACGGTGAGAGCAACTGCTTCAGGACCATGACTTTCTTTTATAGACAAAGCAATTCGCCGAATACCTTCAGCCGTAGCATCAGCACGAAGAAGAATAGCTTCAGCCTCACCTGAGAGACAATAGTTAATTTACTAAACATTAAATGAAGCTGAAATTAACTAATATAATTATAATATAATTAAATTTACCGGACGCCTTGTTTATTTGTTCAGCTTTTTCAGCCTCTGAGGCTAATATCACAGATTCTTTTGTACCTTCCGCAACGTTAATGGCAGCTTGTCTCGCGCCTAAGATTAATTCAAATAAATTTCATATTCTATAAATTTTAAAAAGTCGTAATAACCAAATATTATGACGGACCTTCAGATTCTAAAATAGAAGCTCTTTTGGACCGCTCAGCAGATACCTGAGAATGCATAGACTCCACAACCTTTTCAGGTGGTTTAATGTCACCTTATCAAAAGAATATATATTTAAATTAATTCAATATATAAATATATAAATATATATATATATATATATGTATGTATATATGTATACCGGGCATTTTACTTACGTATTTCGTATCTTAAACATTCGACACCCCAATCTATTGCAGCACTATTAATTGCGGAAACTATATTTGCATTTAAGTGAGAACGCTCCGCCAATGTTCTATCCAAGGTCATTTGACCAATTTCAGCCCGCATCGTTGTCTGTGCCAATTGTGCGATTGCATATTCGGCATCTTCAACGCCATAAGATGCCTATAAAATTTACATGAAACCAAGATACGAAACGAAAAGTCTGATAATATATAAATGGGAGTTTGCTACCTTGTATGGATCAATGACTTTTATATATAATACACCATCAAGTTCTAGTGTAACATTGTCTAGATAAAAAAGAAACATCAGATTGTGACTAAACGATATGTTCTCTCGATTTACGTAATTGGTGGATCGTCAAACCTTGTGTTATAGCACTTTGGGTAGGAATATTTAAACAAATTTCTTTAAGACTTTTAACGTACTTTATTCGTTCGATAAATGGAATAACAAGAGCCAGACCTGGTGGTAAAATTCGATCAAACTGATAGTTTTCACTAAAATAAATATCATTTTGCCTCAAAAAAGAATAGTGAGTGTTCACAAAAAAGTAACCTTTCCAAATCGCTCTATAACCCACGCTTCTTGTTGTGGAACGAAATTGATAATCTATAAAAAAAATGTTATTTAATAACAGTTAATTTTTTAGATAATTTGCTTTCAAAAAAAGAAACTCACAGTATTTCGAGGTAACTTTGATCGAAGCTGAGCCTCTGGAATTGGGCTAAGAAAGGAATATTCGTCACTATTTCCATATGAATTGTATGCTTTCTGATTCAAGTGCAGTATATTGGACGTTCGCTAGAAAAAGATTTATATATAAATTGAGATTTGGCTTTGAAAATCCGGCAGGTGATATTTTTTTTTTAGCAAATAAATACCAATGCATATCTTTTTGTTGATAGAGATAATAACGGTGTTTGGATTAATAATTTTAACAGTGAACGAGATGCCTGAATAGTCATGTTAAAAATTAATGCGTTCGTATGTGACATTCATTGCGGATAAAAATTAACAATCATGTGATTTATATTCATGTTTTTTCAGATAATCTTTTCGTTACGTATCATATATCGATATCTGATATAGATTTAAGAGTTGAGTTAAACATTTATGAATCATGTGGCTGTGTATCTACCCAATAAAATTAGCAGAGACAACTGCAGATAATGTCAATTGAATTATCTGCCTGCAAGAGTCTCGCAGGCAGGCAAATTTTGCTTGCGAATTTTTTGTACAACATTGAGAGTTTAAATTCCGACGTTGGCTTAGATTTATATGATTGTGAATCATTATTAGCAACCAATTTATGTTAAATATTAGCGATAATACGCATTTCTTACGTAGCAATAAATTAAATTATTCTTAACGATAAATAATTTTGCAATAAATTAATAATTTATTTAATTTGTTACTTGTATTTGATTAACACGAACCTTGTTAACAAGATATTTAAATAAGGCGAATTTTTTTTTGTTCAATTAATATATATTGCAAAAGCAATATTACCGGTATTTGTTTCGTAAATTGTTAATACATAATAAAAATTTATTATTATTTTCGTACGTAATAATTAATTATTTACGTACGTACGTATTATTTTTTCGACTATTTAAGGCATAATAAATTATATTTTTTTAATAACAATATGTAATAATTATTTATTGTGGCGGATCATAATGAAATCCAGATCAAAATGAAATTATAATACGTATAAAATCTCGAAAAATAAATTTTTTTTGGGTGCATTTTTAGGGATAGGGGTTAGGGTTAGGGTTAGGGGTTAGCTTTAAAGTGAAGTTATCATAAACAAGTATAAGTGGGTTTTAGAAGGTTAACAGGTTGAGTAGAAAATGTAGATTTCATTTTAAATTATGATCCGCGACAATTATTACTTATTTTTTTTTACTCAATTTTTTTTTGCATTTTTTCTTCTTTTTGATGTTCAGCTTCAGCTTTTTTTTCTTTTCTATGTTCAGCTTCAGCCTTTTGTTTTTCTTTCTCTGCCCGTTTTTGGGCTGCAGCTTCCTTTTTTCTTTTTAGGTTTTTAGCTTTCATTCTGGCTAGTTCTTCCACCTCTTCCAATTCCTGCAAAGAGGCATCATTGGTAAGAAGCCTGGCAAAAGGCAATGTTTTTCTTTTTTTTGTGGGTTGCGAAGGAGGTTTGGCACTATTAGATTCTGGTTTCTTAGTTTGTGATGAAAGACAAGGAGCAGAATATTTAAGCACCATTTTTAACAGGCAAGTACCAGGATTTTTAAAAGTTTTTAATTCTTTACTTATTGATTCATATTTACATTTTAATAATATATGTTCATTTTTTAATATTTCAAACTCCTTTCTGAGAGACTTAAGATCCATTCTTAATAGTTTTATTTCACTTCAAGTAGAATGTTTATAAGTTATTGAAGAAGATATAATTTCTGGAACTAGTGCTTTTTTGCTATTTGGTTGAAAAGATTGAGATGAAGATAAGAAATTAGCTCGTTCTGTGATTAGTAAAGAGTCAAAATGTTTAGGACTAATAGTATTAGGATTAAATAGCCAAATTCCTGTAATTCTGAAAGCATTAGTAATCACCTTTGGAATATAAGTTGTCGTAAATGCTGGCCCAAGAATTCTGGCAAACGTGTGCTTGATTACTACTTCATCTTTATTAAAATGAAGCTGGTCACAATCTTTACTGTCTTTTTTTTTGAGTTTAGCAAATGGAATTTCAAAGGGTTGAAAAATATGGGTTGTGTGTAGTAGTAACACATATAACAAAATACAGTTCTCATTACAGTATTTTATACTTGTGTAATTTATATAGCTTTTTTGCTCATTAAGCATAAGCAGAACTAGATGTGAAGAAGAAATTAATTTGATGAAATGTTCTATATACATTTGGAAGAGATCTTCTTGCATATATTCAGAATCAGTAAAGCCTATAATAGAATCATTTGGAGCACCATTCAATAAACCTGAGATTGCACAAATGTTTTTATAAATGAATAGTAGAGGAATATAAATACTAGCGGCTGAACGCTTAAATATGACTCACATTCAACTCTCCCCACTAATCCTCTGTACACAAAAATACAAAAACAAAACAACAACAAAAACTGACAGAAACACACAACCGGCTATAGGAAACAAGACTTGCAGCTTTAAGAAAGAAGCAAGAAGACTAAAAATAATACTCAGTCTCTTAAGAGACTTGAGAGAAAAAAAGCAGAAGCGGCAAAGATATAATAAAAAAACTAGAAAAATCGTCGATAATTTTGCCCTTTGCAAGTCATTTGGGGGATTGGCCTTGACCCTGTAATGCAAATCAGTTATTATCATACAGGACACACAATACGTAATGAAGAATAAACAAAGAAAACACGTTAAAAAACACGTGATAGACGAAAACAAAGGAGATATACAAACAAAACAACAAATCAGTCACGTGAAACAAGAAACAATAGAAAATGCTGGAACTAAACCGACAACAGCAGAACAAGCAGAAGAACGAATAACAGCAATACATATAGAATTAAGACAATATAGAGCAAAAAGAATTAAATATACAGAACTTGCACTCAGTAAAAGAAATGATACATTATATCAAGAGGCGATATAGTTAGAAATCAATCCAACAGAATACATCCTATTAGACAAAGTAACCAGTACTATAAGAAACCTATGCGTAGCAGAAAGAGAAAGGCTGTTTGCATATAATAAAGAAAGAATGGCCACCGAGTATGCACAAGCTAGAATAGAAGCAGGATGGATGAAAAGATTAGATAAACAGAGAAAGTGTTGACAAAGGCAGTATAACAAAATAAATTTAGGATTAATATTACAGCACTTTAGAGAATCAGTAGAATTAATGAAAATAAAACAACACGAAAGGAAAAAGAAAAATATAATTAGAAAGAAAATAAGGAAGATGCAAGTTCAACAGAAAGCAAAGCTGCCAAAACAAAAATATAAAGAAGCCAAAGAAAATGAAGAAATATTGAAGAAAAGAAGCACAGGAAGAGATGTTGAAGGCCTTACAGAAAAGGAAACTTTAAACAAACTAACCAAAGAATCAAGACCAAGAATTTGGATAACAACTTTAATAGAAGAGGAAAATTCTAGCGATATACAATTTAAAAACCCACGAAGAAAAATACTAAAGTGGATAGTAGAGTTTATATATCAAGTAAACTTAAAAAGTAGGCAAAATAATATTAAAGACTAGAAAAAGAAAAAGAAAGAAACCTTGGATGAATGGAGTAGACGAATTAAATCAGTAACGAACACTAGTACAAATGAAGAAAATATTATATAAGAGGCAGCAATAGGGAGAACAATAGAAGTTAAGAATTGGAAAAGAAAAAAGAAAGACACCAGGTTTAGAATAGCAAGAAGAATTATAAGAATAGTAGCTAGAAATTAAGAGAAGTACGGTAAATTGCAAAAAAAGCTATACAAAAGAAAAGCAAGATTATGGAATAAAAAAGAGAAAGCAGATATGCAGTTTCGAACAGTCAAGAACTGGAAGAGGAAAAAGAAAACTTCTCATTTGAAACAGTAGGAAGATTTTTAGAAAGATCAAAAAGTAAAGAGAAGTATAATAAATCTCAAAAGATACTTATTAGAAGAAATGCAGAACTATAAAGTAGAAGAAGGAAAAAAAGCACAAAGTTCCAACGGAGAAATAAAGAAGGACCCAAACAAGCTAATTAAGTTCTGGAAGTAGAAGAATGCAAATTAATATGGAAGGAACTAGAAGAAGAGAAGGGCTACAAATGGAAACTTTTAAAGAAAACCTGTATAAAGAAGACTATCAAGAATAAGAAGAGCAAGATGAATCTTAAGAACTGGAAGAAACATAAAAAGAAGAAGAAAAATAGAAGACTGAAGTGCCAGAGCAGACTACCAGTAGAAAATAAGGAAATGAAGAATGAAAAGATGAGGTGAGGTAACTATAAAAGATCACAAGAAGTATTAAGTAGTAGCAAAATGTTTAAAATATATAGAATAGAAAATACACAACGTAATAATCTTATTTTAAGATTAGCGATTTGATGCTTTGCATTATTTGCAAGTACTGGCCATGGCCAAAGCGCAATTACATTGTGGAATATAAATATAATTAGGTAGTACTGACAAGGTGGGTAGTCGCCAGCCAATGACCAAAGGGAAATAAATCCTTAGTGAGTTAAGAATCCAGAGGGAGGCCAAGGACTACTGAGGCAGGTCGCATCTGGTATATAAAATCACGTGAGTGAGTCCTTTGTTTGGTTGGATCTACTTTAGTTAGAGATAAACTACTTGTAATTTTGAATAACTTGATCCCAAATAAACAAGGGCAGGATTGCTGAATTATAAAATAAAAATACCAGCGGCTGAAATTGTAAAAGCAACTGAAATGTAATCATATATATTCCCATATGAGACTTTGTAAATTTAATGAGCACCTTTATAGAGTTAGAGATTAGTAATGCAAATTTTAATTACTAATTCATAATTTTTGATAATTTAATTTATTACTAATTAATCTAATTAACTAATAATTATTACTAACCTTTTATTGCAAGAACTTTTAGATTTTTGAAGCAATGACAAAGCCCGTCTCATCCATGTTCCAAATACAGTCTGAAATAAGTGAATACTTCTTAATTATCTTTTGTAATTTATCAAAGTAATTTTTTATTATTATCGGATTAGCTCTTTGAGCTCATGCTTTTGATAAAGCTTGAAATATTCAAAAAGATAAATCTGAGTGATCCTTCATAAAATGATTCTACCAAGCTCTGCCAGGCTCTTTATCTGAAAAAGGATGAGCACAATGATCTCTATGCACTATCTCCATCACACAATTCATGCCTACTTTTGTTAAACCAAATCCTAACCTCTGCATATTTTTACAATATTTTACAAGTTGTTCTTCTTGATGTTTGCTTAAGATTGTCTCAGGACCAGGAAGTTTAGGCAAACCATTTTTAAT